GTGCTCTCTCCTGTAATTTCCCAATTCTTCTGTCTCCGCACTCACCCTGTCATGAAACTTAGGGGGCAGGCATTGGTGCCTGACTTGTTATTCCGGTGTTGAGATCCAAAACCCAGTCCTCATGACTGCACAAGTGATCTTAACCACGTAGCCATCCCTCTATCCCCAAATGTCTTTATTTAAAATGCTCTCCTTGTTACATAATTTCACACATCTCTTTAGGGGCTATCAACTCCTTTTATATAAAGGCGGGGTACTGAACTGCACGGCAGCTAGATCCCTAACCCCTTTGGTCACATTAATACTGACCAGTCCTTCAATAACAATAGTAGCATGTTTGCCGGATCTCAACAACACCTGCTTATGGTTGCATTACAGCCAGATGATGCTGAATCAACTTTCTGCAAAATATTGCTTCAGATTTTGGATGAATAAAAACCACAGCAATCACCTGGAACAGAGAGCCTCTACACTTACTGAGACATAGTTTACAGAACCAGGCACGGAAGCAGCTCGCAACACTCCTGCCTGCATTACCGCTGACCTTTACTCCTCCTGTGACTCTGGTGTGTCTCTAGACTAAGGAATTAAGGAGCGCACATGAATGTCTGTTGAGGAGTAAGTTTTTATCAGTCTGTCCTTCCTTCATGTCTCGAAAACAGAACATAGCCATAGTAGCCCATTTTTCTCATTGATGAAGCAATGTACCTGATAAAAACAACTTCTGGAAAGAAAGGTTTATCTTGCGTCACAGTGTAAAGGCTCAATGCATCATGGTAGCTGAGCAACTGTGGAAGGGATGTGAGGCACCTGGTCACATTGTGTCTGTGCTCACTGAGTAGAGAGAGATGAATACTGGCCTTCATTTCACATTTTTCTTTTTGTTCTGTCCAGTGCCCCACCCGGTGGCGTGGTACCTCCACATTTAGGGCGAGCCTTCTCATCTCAGTCCCCTCACAGACACGTGCGGAAGTTCGTCTCCTAAGTGGTTCTAGAGCCTGTCAAGCTGATGATTAATGTCAACCACAGCACAATCAATCCATCCCTAAGAGAAATGGACCCATTCCTATGGTCACATAGCACAGTCTTGAATGTGCAGGGTCTCCTGGTGATGGCTGAGCTTCTCTGTCAGATGAGAATTCATATCTACCTGTCCAGTGCCCTGGGTGACAAAAAGACAAATCGTGTGTACACGGTATGTTACATCAGGTTTGAGAAGGAAAGCATAGCTGTATCCAGCTCCCTCATTGGCAGGGCTCAGCAGCTATCCTTCCAGCAGATTCTCCCCTCTGGGAATGCTCTTTTTTTATATATATCTTTGTTTCTGATCACCCTGGTGAGATCCTTCATGTTCTTTCTTTTTCATTTCTGAATAAGGTGTTGAAGAAAACCTGCGCTCAAGCTCCCCAAAGACTCAGCCCCTACTGTTCATATATCTTCATTAAAGCAATGTCAACATCTCTGCCCAACACTCCCTGTTGGAATCTTTGTTGGTGGCACTTTCATATCTACATTTTGTTTACGTGTCTAAGTGATGTTGATGTTAGTCTGAGAGCTATTCATAGCTTACAAATCTCCATTTGTAGAGGCTTAGGGAGATGAGGCACAGTCTACACTTTGAGTCCTGTCACCCTTAAGTTCACCACAGTAGGAGGGTGACGTATGGGGTGTTTGTAGGGACTAGGTCTGAAAGTGGCTTACGCCATTTGGTCCCTCACTCCGTTAGTCAGCATTCACTCAGAAGGCACTCAGATAAATGCTATCTATCCTAGGGGTGCCCTGCAGCTTTGGGGACCATGTTCATTTTGAATTGGCTGTGGCTTTTACTGGGTCTAAGCTCACGAATGGTTTTATTAATAATTTAATATGATTTTGTCAATAACTCTGGGGGGTTTTCCTCTTGGCACTCAACCAGTGTCTCATCACCCACCTCTTAGTGAGACATTATGTTTGCATAATTAAGCTACATTTTAATCTTATTTTCTCTGTTTCTTCATCCAACTAAGAGGCTTTTCTATGAGAGAGAGAGAAAGAGAGAGAGAAAGAGAAATTTGTAGCTGCACAGAGATTGCATTTCCTGCAGTATAAATTTTAGATTTTTGGACTTTATTCTCTTGCATTTAGCACAATGACAGCCAGTTCTCTCCTAAATTGTTTTTCTTACAGCGGTAATGTGACAGATGCAGACAGAAGCAGCCAGCACACTATCAATACACATTTTTGGAACATTTCCTCTTGGATCTAAGATTTCTGTAGACAGGACGTGACAGCTTTGGATCATGGGTCTTTCCAACCCGGAGCGTCAGCTTGTTCCACCTGCTGTCAGCAGCCTGCTGAATGTTACCCATCACAGTTTTTTATTTATTTTATTTTCCTTTTGGGAGACAGGGTTTTGCTATGTACCCCAAATGCTAGTCCTGAACTCACTGTGTAACCCAACTGGCCATGAAGTTACAGCAAACCTCCTGAGTCAACCTCCTAAATGCTGGATCATAGTTGTACATCATCATCATCATCCACTGTTTTAGGTTCTAAACGGCGGCACGTGGTCATTGCCACTCTCCGTCTGTTAACCAAATGACACCTTTTATATCTAAGCCAGAGACTGTGACCCTTTTCCAGAACCTTAGCCCTCTCCCCCCAGGATCATTGGTTGATATTAGTTCCGGAGGACAAAACAGAGCAAAGATGACAGAAGGTTCAGATGGCCCATGAGTATGACAGAATAACTTTCTGGACCAGCTTCAGGGAGGCTGCTCAGCTTTATTTGGAGTGAACAAGAGCTATATCTATATATAAGTGCATGGGGTGTGTGTGTGTGGGGGGGAATTCCCAGGGTAGGTGTATGCTATTGGCTGGGATTGGAGGTGGCAAGAATGCTTTACATTCCAAGAATTACAGATATTTGTTGGGCAGGTTCTAATCAAGAGAAAGGACGTTGAACCTGAATTTTGTCCATGGGCTATGTGACCTCTCTCAAAGGTGGAGGTCTTTATTAGAGACACTTTCCAGATCAATTCAGGCAGAGAGAAAGAAGACCCTGCTGAGAAAGGGTGCCCTCCTTTCTGTGAAGAGCTCAAAGAGCTTGAGAGAGCTCTCTGGACATGGTAGGCTGGGTCTTTAAAAAGTGGGGTCTTCCAACCGGAGATTACAGGAGATGCCCTGTAATACAGAAAGAGTGAATATAAGAGACTCTTAAAATATTTTCTTTCAATAACCCCTACACCTGTAGGATAACTCCCTAAAAGGCCAAAGAGACATCTTCCCACCCACCACTCCAGATTACTATATTTGGTGGTAGTACTTGGGCGTCTGTGATGGATATGCTCATGGATGTGAAAAAAAAAAAAGTGTTCATTTTGTTTTTATTTTTAGTGTCTACATGATTCTGGTGCCAGGTTGAGGGCCATGGTTCTGCTATACACTCTTACTTACAGAGACCTGTCAGGTTAGTAACTACCCAAGAATGCTAGTGGTATAACTCATCTGTTCTTTGAATTCCATTGACCTTGGCTTCCAGCTATGGATCATCCTCTGTTTCCGGTCATAGTATGGGACTTCTCTGTCATTATTCATGCCTAAAGGAGACAAAGGACCCCAGGTATAGATGAAGACAAAATTTAAGTTCCTAAAATTGGAGACTTAGACTTGTGGTAGATCTCACTAGCTTGGTAGAGTGTTTACCTGGCATGTGAAGTCTTCAGTTTGATCCCCAGCACTTCAAAAACTGTATAGGGAAACACACCTGTCCCCGTCCTCTGAAGGTAGAGGTTGGAGGGCCAGAATTTAAGATAATTCATTGTTACATATTGAAATTTAGGCCAACCTGGGCTACACGACACTTGACTTAAAAAAAAAAAAACATTTTGACTGAAACAAACAAACAAACAAACAAACAAACCAAAACAAAATAAAAAACCAGAAAGAAGAAAAGCAAGGAAACAAACAGTATGCCAGAAAGAAACAAAGAGAAAGAAGTCCTTTAGGCCCTGGGCACCGGGGACTCCTCTCTGAACTGTGCATTCACCGATTTCTCTGCTTACCATGGACCTGTATGACATGTATTCCTTCCTCTCCAGCAGCACTTTCACAGCTGTAAGATGAAGCAGGAGACATGAAGATGATGGCATAGGTGATGCTAGTCTGCCTCCTGGTGGCTCTGTTAGGATTGGAAAGGCTGCATTTTGGTGAGTTGAGACGAGGGCTGATGGGAGGCTGCAGGAGAGGCAGAAAGTTCTGCTAGGTCTGGCTGGAGCACGCATGGTCACTGGTGCATTGTTTGTTTGCCACTGAAGTGTCAGCTCTCTCCTGACACCTTATGTTTCTACCTGGGGCGTTAATGGAGGCTCAGCTAGAAGGTCCAGGGATCTGTTAGAATCTTGTCCTGGTTGCACAATCTTCACCTTCACTGGCAGGGATAGAACTGAAGACTTGTGATGGCCAGATGTGGAAGGGAATTTGTGAGGTCATGTTGGTCTGATACCTCCAGTCTCAAAGCCAGAGCCATTTTTAATATTCTGGGCTGGAAGGGTTGGAGGACTGTGGGGAGACCAGACATATAGGGTTCTGGTGCAATAAGAGATTGCTTGAAAAGCCACAGCTTTGGGAACCGAAAGGGTGGCTGGTAAAGTGGCTAAGGCTGATGACAGCTGTCAGAGGCAAAACTGTAGACTTGGCTTTTTCTTGCTCCAGCCTGTCCGGCTTTCCCAACTAAGCTTAGCCCAAGCTAAAGACACAGGGTTACCATGTCTGACCCCCTCACCTCCCTCCATACTCATGGCCTGCTCATTTACTTCCCCCTCCCTCTGTACCCCTGGCCTGCTTCTTGCTGCTCTGTTTACCCCTTCAGTTTTGTTTCATTCCTTAAAAAGACAACATCGAAGACTGGCTTTTGTGAAAAAATATATTTTATATGAAAACTCAGTAGTCATACACATAACATCCTACAGTATCATAAATTATGATTTTTATCCTAAAAGTATTTAAATAAAATCTTTGCACTGATTCTTGCATATCCCCTTCATAATACAGGAACAGAGTAAATGGAGGAAGCTTTCTACAAACAGAACAACATTAAAGAGACACGAAGTGTCCAGGGCTTTACATTCAAATCACACAAAAGTACATGGAAAATTAAATAAAAATATCAATAACTTAAAGATCATTCCTTAAGCACAACCCTTTCACATTCCTACAGACAGCTCCTCTCCCTTAGAAATATAATCAATCCATCTTGGCAAAGTTCTCAGAAAGGGAAAGGTTGCATATTTTTTTGTTTGTTTGTTTGTTTGTTTCTTGGCTTCTAGGTTGGTTTCTGTTCAGGCACACATCTTCAAGGGTTTGGAGTTTGGGATTTCTTGTCTAAGTATTTCATGGCCTCCTGGACCCAATCCTGCTGGGCTTCAGTACAGACTTCCATGCCCTTCTTTGTCCTGAAGCTAAAGGAAGAGTGCTTGGTTAGAGAGTATGTAACTTATTTTGTGAGTTCCTGTCTGGTGCAGTACCCCGCATTGGTGACATTGCCCCAGGGATGGAGGAGGAAGAAGGTAAGACAAAGGATGGGCCTAAGGGGAAGATGTAGTCCTCACTGGCCAAAGATAAGACTGCTTGGTTCTTAGATGGAGAGGGAAGCTCTGAACTGGTGGCTCTGAAGAGTGGTGGGCTTCAGTTTTCCCATGGAAAGTTGTGTGAGTTTGCGTTAGAGATAGTCTCCACGCATTGAGTGTGTAGTTCTGTTTACTGCCTCGGGGAATGGCCTTAGTACTGAGGGGCAAAAGCAGGGGATATGGACTCACATAACAGCCTCCCAGGGACAGCGACTACTGGTGATCTTTATGTAGCTCTTGAGGTTCTTCATGGGGAGCTTTTGTTTCTTGGCTACATAGCAGCATGTGGGCGGAACGATCCCATCTACAATGAAAGAACAAGAAAAGGTTCTTTGTGGTAGAATCTGGGTCTTTTGTTTATGGTTAATGGAATGATAGGAAGCCATCAAGAGGGAAGAAAAGATGAAAGCAGAAGTTGCCCACCTCTGGTTTCATGTCTCTTCCCCTTTAAGATGTTCCAAAACTCTTTTCTCACTGGTATGGGTTTTATGCCAGTCAAAAGGGGCAAGAAAAGCTGACAACAACTCTGGGTATCACATTAATAACTCAGTTCTTTAGGGTAAAGAGCCACTAGTGACGAGTCCCCTCTTTGGATCAGAAAACATGGTGTTTAGCTGTGAGTCTCTTGTAGACACAACCTCTACAGAACCGCTGTCTCTGGAAGCTGGGCTGTTGATGTACCCGCTAGACTCTGGAGCTCTTTCCCCTTGCTCTTCTACCTGAGAATACACACCACTCCAGGACCCTCTGTGATGACTCAAGGCCTCATCGCTGCAGAAGCAGCTGGAGGAGGAGCTATCTTGTTTCCACAAATGAGTCCTGAAGGGATCAGATTCAAGTTCAGGCTCTGTCACTTAGACTGCCTTCTTGTCCTTCTTTCCATTGCCTTACTTAGGCAAAACTAGTAAGGTGAGACTAAGAGTAAACCTCATTCTGTAATGGCCCGTGAGAACCCAGAGAGAAAGGCCAGCATACTCTAGGGAGAAGAAGGCTGGGTCAGTCTTACCTGGTTGGGCCCATATGTGGATGCTGAAGGTAGCAGCTGTGAGCAGCAGACAGAGAAGAATGGCAGAGACCTGCATAGTGGAGAAAAGGAGAGCTGGCGTCAGTGAGATTTGGAAGACTCTGTGCTGGCCTTGCCTCTCTGTTCTTCTGGCAGCTCTACCTCCTCTTTTATAGGCAGCAGAATGGGAGGGATCTTCCTTCGGAATGAATCACAGGAGGGTTTAATTTGAGGCTGGCTTATTTCCATTTAATACCAGGAATAGAAAATTAAGTGGTAGCTTTAACTAGTTAGAATGGTGTATTGTGAACTCTGGCTGTTCCTACTAGCTCAGCTCTTATTGAAGGGAAATACATTCTGTAGAATGAAGAAGGAAACAGATGGCAAAGTCAAGGGATTCCCATTTCCTACTTCAAGCAACAACCTTAGGACTCTCAAATCCAGAAACAAGCACCAAAACTTTGGCTGGTTTTTAAAAATGCACTCAATAACTGACAGTCCCGGTAGCTTTTCAAATCTCAGAGGAGAGGAGAGTAATATAATGTTAACAACAACAACAACAACAAAATCATTTCTGAAACCGGGTGTCTAATAGAGTTTTTAATTACTATGTAACAAAATATCTGAAACTGGTGGCTTTGAACAAAACAACTCATTATTTGGGTTTCAGATAGGAAGGTTGGCTGGCCTTTAGAGTTGGGTAGTACTTGTTTAGGGTCTTTCCCATTGTTTTAGGTACTAGATCATTGAATTTGAGGATCATCCTGACACCTTCACTCCAAGCCTGGTGTCTAGAAGAACTTAAATAGTTGTACTTTGGACCGGATATTGTTCTTTGGCTTCCTCCCTCTCCCTGTTTCTCTGTATCTCACGGTGAAGGCCCTATATTTTACATGATGCCTTAGAGTCTCCAGGAGCATGGATGGCAGCTCTTAGCAACTGAATGTAAAAGGAACCTTCAGCCATGGTTTCATTTTTTTATTTTTATTTTTTTATATTAATTAGTTTATTTACTTTGTATCCCAGCTGTAGCCCCCTCCCTCATTCCCTCTCAATCTCACCCTCCCTCCCTTATCTCTTCCCTGCCCATCTCTAAATACACTGATAGGGGAGGGCCTCCTCCCCATCCATCTGATCTTAGTTTATCAGCCATGTTTTTAAACCAGTGTACAGAACCAAGTCTCAATAACAGAGAGAGTATTTAGCAAAAGAAAAGGACCGACTTCCATTCCCGGAAACACTATCTGGAGGAGTTAGAGACTGACACAGCACATAGGGATCTTGGAATCTTGTGGTTTTCAAAATATCTGATTAACTATGAAAATATCTTTTCTAAGTAATAGATTGCAGAGAAGTCAAGCTGAGTGTAGTGTCATATCTCTTCAGTCTCAGCCCTCAGCATGTGAGAGGCTAGTGCAGGAGTACTGTGAGCTTGGGGCCAATCTACATTCCATAGTAAGACATCATGTCAAAAACTATGGTCTGGGGAACTTGTTATGCCTGAGCATGACAAGTGTTCATAACGGAGACGCAAACTTAGCCATTAAAAAAGCAACATTGTAACAGTCCAACCTTTGGATTAAGAGAACACATTTACAGATGGCATCTCTGACAACTGGTTGGGGATTATCATCCAGATAATTTAAAGAACTCCCACAACTCTGTAGCAAAAACAAAGCAAAACAAAACAAAAATTGAATTGAAACTGGTCAAAGATGGAACTGATGTTCCTTAAGGATGATAAACAGCAAACATAAAAAAGACAAACAAAAAAGCAAAACAAAACATCAACATTGCTAACCATTAGAGGCTTGTGTGGGGCCCTGAGTTCAACGTCAAGTCCCTGTATATAAATAAATAAGAACAAAAAGGAAAATTCAAATCAAACCCATCAATGCGGTATCATCACTTCACTCAATTATGTTACTTTCGCCAAAATCTCAAAATAAGAACTGGTGCTTATAAGCTCGGTAGCAGAGTGTTTGTCTAGTACCTACAAGGCTCTGGGTTCCAATCTTAGCACTATAAAAAAATTAGCAGGCAAAGAAGGAAACTGGGAGTTGTTTAGTGAGTATGTATTTTGTGTTTTAAAGGTGAATTTGGCCTACAGTTGTGTTGTTCAATGATGTTAGGTAGGTCAACATTAATTCTACAAACTACGCTTAAAGATGGAAATATGGTGAATTTTGTGGTTTGTGATTTTGCCACTATTATAAAAGTTGAAGAGAGAATGAAATCTTTAAAATATAAATTTTATAGTTTTCAGTGAAAACTGGTGATTATTCAAAAAAAAAAGACCCATTTGTCTGGTCCTGATTCACTGAATGCAACGGGGACTATGAACAAGACACACTAGATACTTAATAGGAAAGCAAAACTTAGAGAAACTTGAGCACTGGGGCTGTGGAGGGGGCTCAGTTGGAAAAACACTTCCCATGTAAACATGAGGACCGAGTTTGATCCCCAAGAGCAAAGTGATACACACCTGTAACCCCAGGGTTAGGGAGGCAGGGACAGGACCATTTCTTGGGTGCTGTGGCCAGCCAGCCTGACCCAATGAGTGAGTGTGCATTCAATGAGAGATCTTGTTCCAAAGAAAATGTGGACAGTGCTTAAGGAACAATATCTGGATCTCTGGCCTCCACACAGAGGAGCCCAGCGGTGAGAGATGGTGTTCAGCAGTTCTTGTACTGCTAGATAGGCACCAGGAAAGATGCTCCTGGAATAGGATGGGCATCCTTGATCATGGCTTCAAGATGCATCATCTATAGGCTTTTGGCTTGTCCATTTTCACCCAGTGACTACATTGAGGATGGAGATAGGTGGACATGCTTGTCTTAAAGTAGTCCTCACTTCTGTTTGCTGGCTCACAGAAGCCTGAAGCTGGCTTACAGCTGGTACAGACCCTGGGCTTCTGATTATCCATGATTCCTTCAACAAAACACCTACTGTTGCTGTTCTGGGCTACTGATATAGACATGTCACATCTCTCCTTATGTGTGTTTCTGACTGGCTTCCTTGCTTCATCTACACCTGATCCACAACTTTTTAAAGCAAAGCTCCTAGGCTTAAATGGGAGCTCCACATTTCTAACCAATTCCCTTCTTTAAACAACTTTTTTCAACTGAGAGTCTTTACAGATGCTTTATTGTTTAACACTTAAAAAAATTCATCCCCATGCCTTTATACCCAAATGATTTCTAATAGAATTTTGGAGGGCATGAGCTCTAGAAAAGATAGTCTACAACAAATGGTACTGGGAAAGCCAGAAACCTACATTCAGAAAACTAAGAGTAAACCCCAGATCTCATGGTACATGAAAGTCAACTAAAATGGGTTAGAGATGTAAAATGTGAGACCTGAAGTCATGAAGTGACTAGAAGAAAACATACAGGAAATTCTTTATGATGTGGGAAAAAGCACAGAGTTTACAACTAAGGCCCCAAAGCATAGGGAACAGAAGCAACAATCAGCCAATTATATTTTATCAAACAAAAGGTACCAGAAAACAAGCAATCAGCAGGGTTAACAAATTAACCGATAGAAGAGAAGAAAATATCACAACTGACAAAGAGTTAATAACAAGGATGTATAAGAAACTCAATCAACTTTGTAGTGATGAGCAAAACAAAACGAACAAACAAAAGAGAAAGAACTCTCATAAATAATTTAATTAGAAATGGTCCGTAAGAGCCATATGTGTTGGCCCATGCTTGTAATCTCAGAACTTGGGAGGTGGAGGAAGGAGGGTCAGGAGTTTAAGGCCATCCTTGCCTTCATAATATATTTAGAATCAGCCTGGACTTCATGAAACTACATCTCATCTTCATACCATCACCAAAAGTATAAACAGTATATCTAAAAAGCCACTTCCTACATGAAGGCATAGGCAAATAAAGTAATACTCAACTCTACTGAACAGAACAGAATGCAGAACTACCTGGGAGAAGGGCTTGTGTGTGCCTGGGGGAATGCGCTTGACTGTGTTACGTTGACTGACTTGCCCACTGTGGGAGGCACCATTCCCTAGCTGGGATCTTGGGCTGTATGAGTAGAGACAGGGAGACCATCAGCAGCCTGAGTTTGTCACTCTGATTTCCTGTTTTGGATGGGGTGTGGTAAACTGCTTCAAGTTCTTGCCGCCTTGATTTCCCTGCCATGATGAAACTAAGAACCCCTTTCTCTTAGAATAAGAGTATTTTTTCCCCACAGGAACACAAAAAGAAATGAAGACATCAGGGAAAGAGAAATCAAAACCATAGTGAAACACCACCTTGCTCCAGTCAGAAGGGCTATTGTCAAAAAAGTAATAAATAAATAAATAAATAAATAATAGATAAATAAATAAATAATTAAATAATGCTGGCATAGATGTGGAGGAAAGGGGCCCCTTGAAACTGTTAATGGAAATGTAAATCAGTGCAGTCATTGTCAGGAATAGTATGGAAGTTCCTCAAAATATAAAAAAAAAACAAACTAGAATTGGCATGTGATCTAGCAATCTCATTCCTGGGCATGCAGCCAAAGGAATAGGAATCAGTACGTCAAGAGACATCTGCACTGCGCGCTTTTCCCAGTACTGTCCACAACAGCTAAGAGTTGGAAACAGCTAAGTGTTAGGTAATAAGTAAATGAGTGGATGAGCTGACACCAAAGGATGGAAGCCTGTCACTTTTGGCAACATGGTTGAAACCAGATGGGTTTACATGAAATAATCCAGACACAGGAAAACGATGTGATCTTCCTCATGTGAGAACCATGAAGGTTGGCCTCATGAAAGCTGAGAGTAGAATGGTAGTTACAGAAGACGGGGTGAGGCAGGGGTGGGCGGACTGAATGAAGTCAGTGAACAGACACCAAGTTACAGTTAGATTGGAAAAAGGAGTTCTGGGGATTGTATAATATGCTAATAATTTATAATTAATTAATTCTGTGTATATTTAAAAGGCCAGAAGAAAGGACTCTAAGTGTTTCCACTTTAAAGATGATAATTATTTCAGAATATATGTATGAGTGTGTGTTTACTCTTATTTGAACATTTCACAACCTATACATGCACCAAAACATCACATGAAAGACTGGAGTAAGGGTTCAGTGGGCAAAAGTATTTATTTTATATATTAGAAAACTAATGTCTATCCTCGGAATCATATAAAAAGTAGGATGCAGCAGTACTTGTTAGCCATCTGGGCATTCCTATGGTGAGGTAGAAAGTGGAGGCAGAAGAGTCACCCAGAATCTCAGAGGTTAACTAGCGTAGAGTGCACACTACAGAAACAAGAGAGATACTTCCTCAACAAGGGAGAAGAGAGAAACAGCTCTCAAAAGTTGTCCTCTGACCACCATACATGCTCTGTGGCTCTCATGTACCTGTACACACACACACACACACACACACACACACACACACACTGTGATGATGGTGATGATGTCATAAATATATGTGAGTTTTTTTCCTGCATTGGTTATAATGTTTTAAAAACTTTAGGCATTCATGTTAGAGCTTGATTTGGAGCACCAGCTATGCCACCTGATTCCATAATATGCTGAATTTCTTTCCTGAATTCTTATTCCTTTCACTTTTAATTGGGAGTTGATCAAGTTCAGATCAGAACAAAGGACACCATGAAAGCCCATGCCAGAGGCTTCAGCAACTGCTGGGAGTCCATTAGCCTAACAAGACCAAGAAGCATATGTCCCAAACCCCGTGAGACACCCCCAAAACCTACCGATGGGAAGGAGAGCTTCCTCCATTTCAACACCCCAGCGCAGAAGCTTTTGGAAAGTCATTTCCTTAAGGGGTGTTTTTTTTTTTTTTTTTTAATTTACATTTAGTGGCTGGAGGGATGGTTCCATGGCTAAGAGGACCACTGCTCTTTAAGAGAACCTGACTTTGGTTCCCAGCACCTATGTCAGACGGCTTACAACTGCTTGTGACTCCAGCTCCAGGGGGATCCGAGGCCCATGGACACCTCAGACGTCTGCATCAATGTACACAAACCCACATGCAGACAAACACACACACACACACACACACACACACACACAATTTAAAATGAAAAAATTTAAAACTCTGTTTGTTTGTTTGTTTGTTTGTTTGTTTACTTGAGTGTGCACACACACCTGTGCCATGGCTTATGACTTGAGGTCAGAGGACAACTTGCAAGAGTCAGTTCTCTCTTTCTACCATATGGGTCCCAGGTATTGAATTCAGGTTGTGAGTCCTGGTGGCAAAGCACCTTTACCTGTTGAGCCATCTGGCTGGCCCATGTGCTCCCATTTTATAAGGGATTCAGGAGTATTAGCACAATGTATTATCTAGGGTTCTCTCCATGTGTATAGTATGTATTCGTTATATATCCACTCAGATATACATATGTGTGTGTGTGTGTGTGTGTGTGTGTGTATACACATAGTGTGTGATTATAAAAGAGAATTGATTACACTCGGTTTCATAACTGTCAGCTGAGTAATTCCCCAGTGAGCATCTGCACACTGGAAAGCCAACAATCCAGTAGCTATTCAGTTCATGAAGCTGGACACCCTGGACAAAACAGGGGTTAATGATGCAGCTTCAGTCTGAGGCTGAAGGCCTGCCAGCTCCATGCTGTGAGCCTGTGTCAAAGGCTGGAGAAGGTGGAGTCTGAGACCCACTGGGGTGGAGTTTGCTCATGTTCTTTGCTCCCCCTGCTTTTACTTCTCTTCTGGACTGTCTGGAGCCCTGGCTGATTGGCTGCGGCCTCCATCTTTTGGGAGGGTCTCTGCTGGCTTCTGTCCCATGTTCCAGCCATCTATGAACTTTCATAGGCACAACCTAAACTGTTTTTTACTAATCTCCTAAATATCACTCGGACATGCCACATAGACAATGAAGATAAATCATCATGTGTAGGCCACTTAGAAAGCACCTGTGGTACAGAGTAAGGCCTTTACCTACACAGTCCCGGACAAAAGGTGACACTCACAAGTTTATTTGGCCATCTTCTCAGCAAACCAGACAAAACTTCCAAAGTCTGTGCCCAGCTACTTTGCCTGCTCTCTCGGCATGCAGTCTGAAGGGCAGCTGTGTTTTCTAAGTACCGGCACATGAACCTAAAACCTGAGCCTGTGTGGGTACTACCTGACTTTGCAAAGGGGTTTGTGGATATACCTTATATGAAGACCCTGAGAAAGGAGATCTCAGACTGTGAAGACATGCTCAGGACAATCACAAAGGTCCCCTGAACATAAAGCAGGAAGGCCAGAGTCAGAGAAAAAAAAATTACATGACTGGGTTTGATGGTGCATGCCTATAACCCTAGCACTGTAGAGCCTGAGGCAGGAGGATTGCTCTGAGTTCAGAGCTAACCTGTGCTACATGGTAGGTTCAAGGCCACAGTGTGAAGCCCTATCTCAAAAAGCCGAAAACAAACAAGCAAATGAAAATGTGGTTGGAGAAGCAGAGAATACGCAAACAGAAGGTGGGAAGAGGGAAGAAAGAGGAGACAGAGAAAGAGAGGGGGTGGAATATAGAAGTGGTCCCTAGACGTTGAAAAAGACAAGTCCTTTAAGGGGCTGTAGCTAGACTGACCCAGTGTAGACTCGCAGCCTTAACAATCCAACTGTACGCTAATGCATTTGGTAGTTTTAAGCCATTAGGTTTATGCTGTTTTGTTAGCAACAATCAGAGACTAAAACAGTGTGGTACCTGGGGCAGGGTGCTGTTGTAATAAGTCATAGAAATGGCTTTAGAATTGGGCAATAAAGAGAGGCCAAATGCCTGAGAGTGATGGGAAAGGCTGAGACATGCTGGAATAAAGTGCTGGCAGTGATGGGAAAACGAATGTGTTCTCCTGGGCTCCCTCGAGTGTCTAAGCATTGCTAGTGCTTTGTGCTCAGTTTCATTGTGTTGCAAGGACGGAGGAACCCATGCCTGTTTCAAGAAAAAGAAACCTAGTACACATTTACAAGAATGAGCAATTGGGACTCGCAGTCTCAGTGGGAGCAGGCTGTCTGCAGGCTTAAGTACATGTGTCACCCTTCCCTTTCCCTTTCCTCCTTGGGCCCTTTGTAGTCAGTCAGCCCAGCATCCAAGACCCCCTGTTCTATAAGCTGCAAAGTAGAAACCTACTCATTTGCCTCTTTGCACCCACTATGATTTAAGATTTCTTTTCTGACCAGTAATCAGCACTGAGGACCATTGAGCCTAGAATGTAGGGTCAGTGAATTCTGCATACAGCTGCTTACAAACTGTTTGCTAGCTGATGTAATGGGGCCCTTGGAACTCTGAAGAAAGCCCTCAGCCTCAGCCAGGGAGCTGCGCTGGCTCAGGAACATGCCAACTCTGAGCTGCAGCAATGGAAATTTTTCAGGAGCCATGCTCTTAAATCAGGAAGGGAACATTGGTCCATGTTCATCTCTGCAACTCCTGGCCTCCTCCACTGAATTAATAGATGTCACTTGGTTCTGTGACAGAGTCAGTGTCAGCTCAGGGGTCCTGCCTGCCAGGCAGAGTTCTCCCAAGCGCCTCCTTTGCCAAAGGTTCTGCAGTCCAGCTGGACAGTATCTTTCTCCCCACTAGATGGGGAAGCTGAGCACCATGGGAGTTTATTCCCTAGAGAAAGACGCTCATTCTCTTTTGGGAGAGGCTGTCTGTTCATGTGGTTTAAATGCTCCTAAGATGTGATGGGTCCCATGCCATAGACCTCACCTGGACATTGAGAGAGAGAGAGAGAGAGAGAGAGAGAGAGAGAGAATCTATCCATATGCATGGACACCCTAGGCTTCTCAGCGTGGAGTTAGGGTGGTGATGAAAAAAAAAATTGCATTCCTGTTTCAGAGAAGTTGCCTCATTAACAAGTTCAGGAAAGGTCTATACCTTAAGCCACTTCCCAGTGCCCTCTTGCACCTCCATATGATCCCAACTGAGCCATAATCTATCACTTGTCTCCTTTTCTTCCTATTTGCATGAAGCCATTAGGACGCATTCTCTGAAGCTCACCTCTGAGCATCTCAGTGGGACCAAAGCATTTCAGCTTATCTTTTAAACTACAGGTTGGAGGCAGTACCATTTCCTCACCTTCACATTCAAAACCCTGTATTCAGCCTTCCTTTGAAAAGAAAATCCTCATCCCTTGACATACATGTGACCCTGTTTGCTTCTCTCTCCCTTCTCCCTTTGCTGTAACTTGACATGTATGTGGCCCCATCCCTCTCTCTTTCCACTTTCATTTCTACCTTCAGGTAATTTCCCATACCTGCCCTTTTTTTTTCTTAATGTTTCTGTGTTTTTCTATAAAAGCTCTAGCCACAATCAAGGCTAAGCTCGTGTCTTCCTCTCTCTCTATGAAGTGTTAACATAACCTTCTTATAGAAGACAGTGAAGTCTCTCATCCGTTCTCCACTGCCTGCACTGCCTCCCCAGTTGAGAGTTTACTGGAGAGTTACGGACGGAAGTGATGTATCCTCACTAAAGGGCAATTGGAACACATGACTGGGGAAGGGCTGGATGGAGCATGTGCCTGAGAATCAATACTGGGGACTGAACAATGGTACTATGTACAATGTACCTGATCGGGTTCTGTCTTTAAGATGAGACGAGACCATTCAATTCAAAAATTCTACCATTCCTTCACAATATGCTCCCCACCCTGCACCGTCCGCCAAGCTTAGATATTCTCAGCTTTGAAATTTCCCGGGGAGGGGCATGCGTGGAGAAGGGGGAGGGAGGTTAGGATGGAGAGGGGAGGAGGGAGGGGACCGCGGGAGGGGGGATACAAAATAAATAAAGTGTAATTAATAAAAATTACAATAAAAAATGGAAAGAAAGAAATTTCCCTCAAGAAAACACCCAAAGCCAGACTGTGTACAAAAATAATATATTTCTCTTAATAATTAGAAATCTCCATTTCCATAATAATATTTTAAACAACGCCTTGGAATCACAAACACAAAGTTTTTCCATTCATCTTTACAAGATTCACCTCTCATTACATTTAAAGTATAGAATCAGGATTCACGGGGGGGGGGGGAACAGATCCACAACTTGCATCTAAGAATTCCTAGTATTCATGGAAGGGAATATTACAACATCAATAAGTTAAATAAGTTTAACATTACTTAAGGCATCACATTCCAAGTTACACTAGTTCACTGCCATAGCGGTCACTCCGACAGAAGCGCTTTAGGTTGCTGTGGAGAAGGGAGTAGTGGATGCATTAGCTGCAGGTGCATGAGTCAAGTTAGCATTCAAAGGTGCTGAAGATCTTGGGGTAGATGCAACTTTAAGTGCAGCTGTAGTTTCTGATCTCTTTTGGTTCTTCTGGTCCAGATTCTGAATGTATGACTGCACCCACTTCTCCTTGGGGTCAGCACAGATCTCTCTCTTGAGCTTGGTAACCAGACTGTGGGAAAAGAGAAGACACAGTTAGATGAAGTTCAGCCTGGTGTGCATGGAAGGGGCAGTAGAAAAGGGAACTCAGAGTGGCTTGCTGCTCCTGCAGGGTTTCCAGGATAAGCTCCTGGCATTGGAAAGGACTGGACAGCATCCATAGAGACAGTGCTGTTGGGAACTGCCTTTTCCTTCTCGCCTCAGTTTCCCCATTGGGAGCCACTTGATATTGGATCTGAGCCAATATCAGCCAATATGACTGACTGTAAGTATATGACGACCATCCTTCGCTCTTGAGGAAGAACTTTGGACCAGAGAGGGCTTGGCTGTGCAACTCACACTATTGCCTCTTTGGGACATTTGCTGCTGGTGATTCTCTTGTAGCTCTCCAGCCTCTTCTCTGGGATCTTTCTGCTGGTGAATGAGTAGCAGCAGGTGAGTGGGGATGTAACTCCCTCTGGAGAAAAAAAATAGAAGGGGGAGGGACACATTAGTGCAGGATAGATACTGATGACCTTAGAGAAGAGAAGAACCTCAAGGAGAAGGCAGTTTCAGCAGGATGGGAGGTAGACACCCACACATCAGAGCTGGGATGTGACTCCTGATACACTGACTGGCTCTGTCATTTGTGTCCTAAAGTAAGTGAGCAAGCTTGGGTAACGGGATGCCGTTAGAACTAGGTGTGATTCTGGGGATTGTCATTGGGAGAGCCAAGAATTACCAGGGCTTAAGAAGATTACCTGAGTACATTATTCCAGGCCCCCAAAATCTAAATGGTCCTGAGGATCTCTGATACCAACCACCTCTGCTAAGCTGCTATCTCTGGAAGCTGGGCTGAATGAAACACAGCGTAGATCTCTGCTGTCTTCCCCTTCGCTCTTCTATGTGGAGAAACGCACCTACCCAGGCCCACCCTTTATTAATCAGGTTCTCAAATACTGAGGAAAGTAGCTCGAGCAAGAACTGTATTGAGGTGTGATTCCAAATTTAGATTTTAGGATTAAAACTCTGTGTAATTGGGTAAGCTCCTTTGTCCTTCTCTCACCTGCCTTTCCTCAGGAAAAAAAAAAAAAGTAGTCTAGGTGTGACTATGATGGTGGCCCATGACAATCCAAAGTGGGATAATATGCTGTAAGGAGAATGAAGCTGGGGTCTCACCTGGCTGAGCCAGCACATGGATGCTACAGGCAGCAGCTATGAGCAGCAGACACAGAATCGTGGCAGAGATCTGCATGGTGGAGGAGGAAGGAAGAGCTGGCTTCAGTGACAGCTGGCAGGTTCTGGGTTGGCCTCCCTTCTCTCTGCTCTTCTGGCTGCTCTGCCTCAGCTTTTTATTGTAAGCCAGGGGGTGGAGTCAGGCAGGGGGCCTGGTTCCAAGGAGCAGCATCATCCTCAATGAGTGGTGAAAAGTGGAAGGATGACTTTGCTGAGTAAGTGCAGACCAACCCTAGGAGGTTTCCAGGAAGTGAAAGAGAGAAGCTTTGGATTAGGCTTTGGTACTTTTTCCAGCCACTGCTTCAAGCAAATGAAGCTGAGCAGGGAGGGAGGGAGAGGGAAGGGATGGGGAACAGTCATCCCAGACTGACCACAAGTGTGCCCAAAGTGATTCTGCTTTCACTGAAAGAGCCCTAAGACCTGAGGAAGATACTAGAAGCATATTCCAGCTTGCTCCTGGCCCAAGAGATCTTGGAGCTGGAGCTGGGAAAGGACCCCAATAAGTCCACCAACTTGTTTTTTAACGGGCCGTGTTGGATAGGGAATTCACTCCATTTGGTGGCTCCCAGATACATTGCAGAACTGAAGAGCTTTGTAACATTGGCGTGACCCATCTGAGTTGTACGAATATAGACCTGGAAAGCCATACAAGTCAGCTCATGGTGCAGAAGAGATTTCCATACAATGCTTAGTCTGTTTCAAGAATGTTTGGAACCATTCACAATGCAGTTTCTAAATTCCCCAGCTCCCGTAAGTAGTGTTAGTACCCATTCTATAGATCAGGCAGCTGAGGCCCAGAAGGGTCATGTAGGAAACTGCCTTGAGATCCCCTGGAATGGAACCCAAGTAGTTCCTGTCCACACTATCATCATGTTACTTATTCTTTCTGTGCTAGCTCCCTCAAACTAATAAGCAGCTAGCTGGCCATTGAGAAATATTCCTTGTGGTTAAGTCACTTTGAACTAGGAACCTGTGGCCAAAGCTTACTGCTCCTGCTCTCCTCCTTGCTCCCTTCTTGATTTCCAGGGACCATGACTGAGCCAGCTGGAATGTCTGGCTTAACAGCTTTCCAGGCTTAGCTTTCTCCAGAAATAATGGGATCAGGGCAATAATCTGAAAGTCATTAGAATTAATTTCAGCCGACTCTTTCACAAAAATGATAGGCATGCCAGAGGCTGAGCAGTGTGTCTTGATTTCTTCATCCCACTGCAGGGTCCTTATGAGTCTTTTCTGATGGGCAAAGTTGGACCTAGGACTTTCGTAGAAGGTCACGAAGACAATGACTATAAAGGAATAGGGAGGGGATTCTTAGAAGAAAGCAGTTTGCCAGTTACTATATTTGTGATAAGAAATGAGCAGTATAAAAAAAACAACTGTGTTTAATCCATAGTAACTGGTCATTAGCAGCATAATGATGGCTTATTGGGAACCAGGCATAATAAGTTGCCAAAAACCTAGTTACACTTAGGTAACACAGGTGACACAGGGGCTGATATTCCCATCCGAGACACAGTGGTTTCAGAATTCCTGTCCCTGGACATGAGATTTAATGCCTCATGGTGGATGTTAGTTTCACAGAGAATCTAGAGCAGAGATTCTAGACTGTTGGGCAGAATTAGAAATAGAACAAGCTGGACATGGTGGCACACACCTGTAATCCCAGCACTCAGAGAGGCAGAGGCAGGTGGATCTCTGTGAGTTTGGGGCCAGCCTGGTCTCAGATAACCAAGGCTTCACCAAGAAACCATGTCTCAGGGGAAAGGAAGGAAGGAAGGAAGGAAGGAAGGAAGGAAGGAAGGAGAGAGAAAGGAAGGAAGGAGAGAGAAAGGAAGGAAGGAAGGAAGGAAGAAAGAAAGAAAGAAAGAAAGAAAGAAAGAAAGAAAGAAAGAAAGAAAGAAAGAAAGAAAAGGCAGGGCATGACACTTATGTGCTGCTGCTTTGCTGTACCTCTTGGGACCTTCTTTTTGCCCTACCTATGCCATTATCTTGCTAGTCATTGTCCTCCCAACTAGAGTCCAAATTGCTCTGAGTTTGGCTCAGCCCTTTTCCTCATTCTATTCACCTCAAATATGTGAATTATTTCAGGACTGGAGACAGTAGTTTTGCATAGTCATTTCTACCCAGCGCTTCTTGTTGTAACATCAAAGCTATTTCCCTCATGTTCATAGAAGCCCATGTCTCATTTATGAATATGCCATCTATGAAATCAAGTCATTCCTTGGACTTTCTGTAGCATTAACAAGCTGAAAGATGCTACTATTAGCCCTAAGAATTAGAGACCTAAAAGCCCCCGAGAAATTGTATAGTATCACCTTCTCTTTCTATGCAAAGAAGCCTATTCCTGCCTGAGATACCCAGATTCATGTGGCCCATGGTCACAGTGAAAAGCACTGTGGCAGGCTTCTGAGCCTGGGCAGTCACCACTGGAAAGTAAGTTGGCTGTTACAAGCCATAGTTGACACGAGGAGGCAATATGATGTGAAAATCACAGTCCAAAGAAAGGAAAGTAATAGTCCATCGCTCTCTCACTTCATTCTGTCAACAAAGGATGCTCTTTACAGCTGGTAGGTCAGAGGCAGAGCAGGATAAGAGAGTGGAAAGTCCATTCTGAGGCAGTAGTGGAAGTTCCCAGGTCCTTTGGGAGAGACATTTGGCTGAAGTGTGCGTTCCAGATGCTGGGCTTACAGCCAGGCAGTTCTCACGTGGGCCTGGGAATCTGCAATGGCTCAGAAAAGGCCTGGGCTGAGCTCTGGCTTGGGAGCAGTCAAGGGAAAAGCTGGGGAAAAGATGCAAAGGGGTGAGGATCAATGTTCTGCTGGTCCCCAGCATCCCAGGAGCCCTGGGCTTTCTCTTTCTTACCACCCAGATGAGCAATGGAAAGATTCTCTGAGAGAATAACCTCATCCTCCACATGTACCCTGCTCCATGCCACACCCTCCCACTCACTTTTTGTCAGAGTGGAAGAAAGAAGAAGTGACACTGAGCTTTCTAGAAAGATCAGAAGCACTTCCTAGTCCTTCAGCTGGCCACTTCCACAGTTCTCTTGCTAGCTAACTCCTTCCTGTGTAGCTCATGGTCTTCTGGCCTATGCTTCCAGATGGCCTCCCCACACCTCAAGCCTTTGGGTGCATAGTTGGCTCGTGTCCACATTCACTCTCCAGCAGATGCCCTCTACTCTTTCCAAGTGAACTCTCAGGTCCAAGTGGCCTGTGTTCCTAGGACTTTGGATCTGCCATTCTTTCAAGGACCATGATTTTCCATTATTCCTTCACAGAATATCTAGTGGAATGGGACCTCTGGGAGGAAGTGCTTATTTCTCAGATGGAGGTACTGAGGCCAAGAACAAGGCTATGATATGCCCAGGGTGATAGAGAAGGCTAAAGCAAGTATTCATGCTGGCTTGGTTCTGAGCTTTCTCCGTGTTCTCTACCATCTGGTCACAATGATAGTGTGGTCAGTGTCCACCTTGGGCAAGCCTCAGAGGAAGGGCTGTTGGGGAGAGTGGGTTAGACTTAACAAAGAGCTGCCAACAAAGATAGGACTGACTGAGCTTCAGAAAAAACCTGAGCATTGCTTTCTCCATGCCTCTGGCATCCAAGAATTTCCTGGGTTCTGTTGTGGCTATACTCCAGCTCCGTTTTCATGAAGGAACTTATGGTATTTGTAAGATGAAGCTTGTCCTGTGAAGGTGCCAAGCTCCGAGCAGCCTTAGGTGGAGTGAGAGTCTTAGGGAAAGAGCCTGTGGATCAGCCAAGCGGAGACAGAGACATTGTTTTAGTCATCTTTAGTAGAGCCCTTAAACATTTGTATTTTGCTCACCCAAGGAAAACTCAAGTGACATATAGGATAATTACAGTAACTAGACATACAGCATCATGAAAGTTCTTGTGCGGATACAGAGAAGGCTGAGGAGGGATATTTATGGTGGGTTCAAGGGTTGGGCAAGTTTTTCGCTTGAAATGTTACTGGGTGGAGGAAAAGCATGTGTTGGAGAAAATCTCTGGACACTGCACATTTTAGAATGCTTGTGTAGCCCTTAGCATCTTATTGAAGATCAGATGCTGATTCAGTGCAGCTGAGGGCTGAGGTATGCATTTTCAACCAGATAGATTGTCCTGATGCTTCAAGTGTCCAGCTCTGCTAGAACCACCTGGGAAGAGCAAAGGATAGAACAAGATGCTTAAGGATGGGACACCATGAACTGCTCATCTCTCACCCAGAGTAGCTTCATGACTATGGTACCTACATAAACTTCAAGGACTAGTGTGTAATGTTGTCCATAGCAATTGCATCTTTTTTTAGAGAAATGGTCCAGGAGTCAGTGGCATCTACAACCTCTCAAAACTCAAGAACCATTGAACTATTGAAATAGAGCATTCTGTGCTTCACTGCAGATTTCCTCAGTCACAATTACATATATTTTCCCTAAGTTCTCTCCTCTTCTCTGGGATGGTTGATGGTCTGTGTTTGAGAGATGCAAGGCAAAAGCCTGGAATATATCAGGTATGGCCTGTGCTGACCAGGCCAGGCAGCCTTTAGGTATAGAAGGAAAAAAGAAGAAATGAGAGGAGGGCAAGAAAGAAAGGGGTCAGACAGGGGAGGCTGGGCAGATGGAAAGAACCTTTGGTTATATTATAGCCACCACAGCCAGTGGCCTGTTTCTACCTCTGTCCAGCTATGTGGCCTTGAGCAAGTCCCTTGACCTCTCTGAACTTCTTGTGTAGACGGTGATGAGTAAACAGTTGTTTCTAACCTCATCATGTGACTTGTATGAAGAAATAAACCAAGTCACTTTGTAAGCATCCCGTAAAGGGCTGTGTCATTCTAAGGGAGGATGAACATGGACCTGCGGACATCTAGAGACACATGACAACTCTGGTGGATTTGTATGCTCCTGGCCTTGAGGTTACTATTGTAGCCCAGGATGTCCTGAAACTAGTAACATCCTCTGGCTTCAGCTTTTGTAGTGCTTGAATTGCAGGCCTGTACCCTATGCCTGATTCTTGCTGTCTTATTGGAGAGTGATGGTAAGGTTCCAGAGGCAGAAAGCCTTTGGAGATTAACAAAATAGCTGAGCGT